TGCCCAAGGTCATCCAGCCAGGTGCAAGTGGAGGAGTGGGGAATCAAACCCGGTTCTCCCAGATTAGGGTCTGCGCACTTAACCACAACATCAAACTGTCAAGGAATTTTGTATGGTGAAAAAGGCCGGGGGGTGGTGCTGGTGGTGGAACATGACGCCGTTTGAAATGGCCACAGCCGTTCAGAGATTGCTCACTAACGAGATGAAGTTTGCTGCATGACACCCCCCCCTCCTTTTGCTTTACTCGGAACCGGCCCAACAACGGGGAACATCCAGTTTAGAATGCTAATGTGAGCCTTATTCTCAACCCCTTTCCTAATAATCCCCTTTTCCCTGCTGCAACACCCTGGGTGGACAGTTTCACTGAGCTATCCACTGTGAATCCATTATCCCCCCCTCCTCCAGTCTCAGCAAGTTCAGACCCCATTGGCCTATCCTTGAAGTTGGGATTATTATTATTTTTTTGTCCCAATGTGCATCGCCTTACGCTTATCGGCACTGAACTTCATTTGCTGCACTGTCGTCCACCCACTCAAGTTTGTGGAGGTCCTCTTGGAGCTCTTCAAAGTCAGCCTCGGTTTTCACCCTCCTGAATAATTTGGTGTCTGCTCCAGACTTGGCCACTGCGCCACTCACCCCTAGTTCCAGATCATTTACGAATAAACTAAATAGTACCGGCCCCAGTAGGACCTGCGGTGGCTCAAGTGGTTAAGACGCTGTGGAAGGTCGGTAGTTCAGCAGTTCGAGACCCGGGGGTGCCGCATGACGGAGTGAGCTCCCTTCTCTGGCCCCAGCTCCTGCCAACCTGGCAGTTCAAAAGCAAGAAATTGCAAGTAGATAAATAGGGACCACTTCGGTGGGAAGGTAACAGCGTTCCGTGCGCCTTGGTGTTTAGTCATGCCGGCCACATGGCCGCGGAAACGTCTTCGGACAGCGCTGGCTCTTCGGCTTTGAAACGGAGATGAGCAGCGCAACCCTAGAGCCGGACTCGACTGGCTTTCGAGCAAGGGAACCTTTACACCGGCCCCAGTACTGATCTTTGTGGGACCCCGTAGCTCACTTCCCTCCACTGTGAGAACCGTCCATTGATTCCTACGCATTGCGTTCCGTCATTTAACCAGTTTTCAATCCGTAAGAAAACCCGTCTTCTTACCCCACGATTACTCAGGAGTCTTGGGTGAGGGATCTTGGGAGAATTAGGAAACAGGATAACCCGCCTGACTGGGATTTCTGTGTTACTTTTCACCTGAAATTAACTGTTTAAAAACTGTAAACATGCAATGCAAGATAGACCCCCCCTACCAGTGTTCCCTCTAAGCTGAGTTAGTGTGAGCAAGCTCACAGATTTTTAGCCTCCGACTCACACAATTTTGACTCAACTCAGGAAGGGATGGCTCCAGGGCAAACTAATTTATGCAGTACCCAAATCGCTTGCTCAGAAACTTTAATGCCGGCGGCACACAAAGTAGAATTTTTGCTCACAAGACTCCATAGCTTAGAGGGAGCATTGCCCCCTACACATGTAAAATCCATTTCTTAAAGAGTTCCTACGGAGTGGGCAGAGGAGACCAATTGCAGATGGGTTCTGTTCCCAGGGAGGGCCATCAATTACCACAGCAAGAGGAGGAGGAGGAGGAGACTGGATTTATACCCCGCCCTTCACTACCTGAAGGAGCCTCAGAGCGGCTTACAAACTCCTTTCCCTTCCCCTCCCCACAACAGACACCCTGTGAGGCGGGTGGGGCTGAGAGAGCTCTGACAAAACTGCTCGCGAGAGAACAGTTCCGAGAGAACTTGTAACTGACCCAAGGTCACACCAGCAGCTGCACGCGGAGGAGTGGGGAATCAAACCCGGTTCTCCCAGATTAGAGTCCGTGCTTGGAGCAGGTAAGCAGAGAGCCAGATGGCTTGCTTAGAAAAGGTCACTTGGCCTTTAAACAAGACAGAAAAATGGTGGGGGTGGGGAATCAATTATGGCATTGATTCAGGGCAATTTCGATGCAACTGAGCCGCTCCCATCCTCAAACCTGGGACTGACAGCTTGAAGTTTCCCGTTTCCTGACTTAGGGGCTTTCGAAGGCATTTTGCGAAGGTGATACAGGGGTGCAATAAGGATCGGGGCCATGTGCCGACCAAGTCGGTTGGGGGAGGGGAATAAACTCACCACCTGCACAATTCCCCCGGTCAAAATGGCTCCCCCCAGTAAGGAACAGAGATACATGCTGGGGTGCAGGAGGACAAAAAGACAACATTTGTGCCAGCCTTATTAAAACTTTTTACGCTCCCTGTGGTATAGCAGGTTCTTCTAAAACCTTGCTGAAATATTCAGTGCATCGTTGGGCGGGGGTGTACCCTGAAACTTCCCCCACCAGACTCCGCACTCCCACTTTTTGACTTTGGGAGATTTCCCCCAAATCGTCAACCCAACTAGGAAAGGATGCAGAGACCGAGAGATCGCATAACTGATATGAGAGCCCAAAATGCCACAATTGTACAAAGACGCACTGCATCATGGTTATGTGTAAATGAGTGTGACGGGATTCCTTTTAATCTGCAGGAGTCCCCGACCCTTTTTTGAGCCTGTGGGCACCTTTGGAATTCTGACACAGGGTGGTGGGCACAGCCCCAAATCGGGTGCCGCAGGAGGTGGGACCAAATACGAAACGTCAAGAGAGCGAGGGTATGCAGAAGTCTTATAGTAACTCTTCAACATTTAAAGCAGATGCTCTGGTTTGCAGGATGCCTTTTAATCTACACAGACAATCGAAAGCCCTGCTGGGCACAAACCGCACCTGGCCCCGCCCACTTTCTAACAAGCCTTGGCTGGCCGCCAAGAAATGGGCTGGTGGGCACCGTGGTGCCCGGGGGCGCCGTGTTGGGGACCCCTGCTGGGGTGCCCGTTTTCGTTGGTGGGTCTTGAAGCAAGCTGGGCAGGAGGGATTTTCAGCTGAGGAAATGGCACGTCTATGTGTGTGCTGGGGAGGAGGAGGAAAGGATTCACTTCCTGTCCCAGGTTTCACAGCTGGACCCCCGGTGTCCAACAAGCTTGGCCCTTATCATCCTCCCCCCACTAAACAATGTGGCCCCGATCCAGTCAAAGACAGCTGGATTTAATGCCATTTAAGTTCAATCCCACTGAACAGCTCTCTTTATAGTGGTTCCTACCGGGTGGCACCAAAGCGGGCTGCTTTCAGATTCGCACGGGATAATCTCCCATTGTGTTAAATGAGATTTACTCCCAGGCGGAGTGCGCACAAGACCACAGCGTTACTCCTCCGGCAGGAAAAGGAAAGCCCCATGCAAGAACCATCTGTTGATCTCCTGCAGTACGTTTAGGGGCAGCCCGACAGAGAAGAGTTATGTTCTCAAAGCGACCCACAGCTCTGGTGGCACGTGGGTCCTGGAGGTGTACTGCAGAGAGCCTGCACAACAGGACTCCATGAGAAAAAAAGGGTGGGGGTGTTAAAGAACCAGATGAGGGAAGAGTGTGCAAGGAATCCCACAATGAACCCTCAAAGGCACTCTTGGGTTTTCAAGACAGGTAGCCGTGTTAGTCGGTCTGCAGCAGGAGACAAGAGCAGGAGTTCAGGAGCACCTTAACAACTAACAACATTTGTAGCGGGGCATGAGCTTTCAGCAGTCACTGCTCGCTTCTTCAGATATGGCTAGAATGTGAGCCCATCTGTCCTTAAATCTCGGAGAGTCGAGTGATTTCAGATGCCGAATGACAATAGCGGGCAATAGAAATAGCAGATTAGAAAGAGAGACTGCTGAGCTGCAACCAATAATGAAGCGCAAGACAATATATCCACCTGGACTGAATCGAGACCTAGGTTTCCTATCTCATTACCAATGCTGATTTCTCCAGGCCTGCTACCCCTCTGCATATCACACCTGATCCAGTCACGCCTGCGATTGTCATTCACCTGCTGTTGACATCCAGTACCTGAAATCATTCCACTTTCCAATAAAGAGGGAGCGTTGGCGCAGGCAGTACGACGCCTGCGGTTAACATCAATAGCAAACAGCCACAATGGCTGTTCGAATCCCCACCGCGGCCGGGTTGAGCCCCCGGCCCCCGTCCCAGCTCTCGCCAACCCAGCGACTCTAGTAATAACAAGAGGAATGGGTACCTGCCATAGGTGGCAGGGGGCACCCTCCTCCTGGCTCTGTGCCAGGAGTGCGGTCAGCGGCGGCAGAGAGAAACAAGAGAGGCGGCGGGGGTGAGAGTTGAACCCAAAGGAGAACTCGTGGATTAAGGATCCACAGAGCCGACCTGAGCAACCACTCCAAAGGACGCTATGGGGCGGTTAAGTCGATCTACCATTCCTTGCGGTGGATCACTGGGGAGCACACGGCACCGTGAACGTGACCCACTGTTAGAATCCTGATATGCAAAGGGGGCTTGTGTCTGTAGCCAAACCCCAGAAACATGATATTGAGCTAAAAGAGGGGCATGCCCGGCTACAGGACCGAGCAAGATCCTTCTCTTCACAAAGGCCAGCCACAGTAGACAAAAACAGGGCCAGATGGATTACATCATGTATACTAGAGGCTGATAAAGGCAATTTGGACATCTGGAATACATTCTCCTTGTTACCCTTCGAAAGAGAAACTCCTCTGGACTTTCCCCGCCTCAGCCCAGATAGAGCATGACCTCTTGCGGTGTTTTATGCTTACGCAAGAGCCAAGCGTGCACGTCTGTGCGGGAGGCATCGGATCAGGTCGGCAGCTGAACTGCAAACATTGGGGGGGGGTGTTTCAATATGGGCTCATGCAGGGCTCTTCTTGTAGCAGGAACTCCTTTGCATCTTAGGCGACACCCCCCCTAATGTAGCCAATCCTCCAAGAGCTTACAGTAGCCCCTGTAAGAAGAGCTCTGTAAGCTCTGGGAGGATTGGCTACATTAGGGGTGTGTCGCCTAATAT